GTTATCATGCCTTCCCTCACATCAATGATTGTGCTTGCAGTAGCCAAGAATGGTTGTCCCAAGATTAAAAGAATTTCCAGATCCTTTTCCATCTCAAGCACAATGAAGTCCACCAGAATGTTGAGATACCCAACTTTAACCAATACATCCTTAATAATCCCAACAGGGTACCTAATTGTTCTATCTACTACTTGCAAAGAAACTATGGTTGGTTGTATCTCGTTAAGTCTAAGTTTCTGACGAAGGCATGATTGAAACACCTACACCCAAATCATATAAAGCTTTAGTAAACTTAAATCTACCAATAGTACAAGGGATAGAAAAACTCCTTGGATCCTTAAGTTTTGGTGGAAGCTTGTTTTGAATTATTGCTCTACACTCCTCAGTAAGTGCCACTATTTCAAAATATTCCAGTTTCCTTTTCTTGGTTAAGATATCTTTCAAGAATTGAACATAACTTGGCATGTTTTCTAAAGCTTCAGCGAAAGGGATATTTATGAAGAGTTTCTTGAAGACATTAAGAAATTTCTCAAACTGTTTATCAAGCTTTTTCTTTGTCAACCTTTGTGGGAATAGTGGCGGCGGATAATTTGCTTGAGAATTCGCTTGATTTTTAGCTTGCCCATTATCTGTCTTTTCCACTTTAACTTCTTTCTCAACGATTACTTTGTCATCATCTACATGCTCCTTTGAAGATGTAATTGATTTTTCACTCACCCTTTCAACTTCTTATCCACTCTTAAGGGTAATTGCATTACAATGTTTTTTACCTTTGGGATTGACTTATGTATCACTTGGTAAGGCACCTTGGGGTCTACTGTTGATGGAGTTCACAATCTATCCCACTTGGGCCTTAAGATTTCTCAAGAAAGCTCCTTGATTTTGAATTATAGTATTAGTCTTGGATATATATTACTAGAGAAGTTCTTCAAATTAGGACTTCTTTTCAGGAATTTGTGGTCTAGCTTGTTGTTGAAGACTATAAGGCATGACAGGTTTTGGATTAGAAGGCCCTACATTGTTGTTCCATGGAAAGTTGGGGTGGTTAAATTCTACTACAGTGCCAAAAACTTGTCAGGTTAAATTCTACTATGCAAGTATACGTATCGAATAGATAATATATAAGCAAGCAAAGTATCGATCCCATAGAGAATTGATCTAAAATTTTACTAAGTATTAAAATTATAACAATTTAATCTTATCGAAACAGTCAATATTGAATAATTAAATTACTAAATAAAAATACTTAACCAAAATTTAAACTAAGAAAAATCAAAATAATAATAATTTCAGTAAATATCAAATCAAACAAGCCTAGGATTACAATATCCCTCACACTTCATCTAATCTTACCTCTCTTCCTTAACTTATTTGAATGGGTTGAATTGTTCACCCAGAATCCTAAATTATTTATAAGGGTCTCTCAACTCATCTTATAAAAATATCTATTTTAAATAAAATATTGTATCCCTATGTGAGTTCAAATTAAAACAGATTCATTAAGTTCATATTCTAATCTGGCTACATAGGGCATCCTATATAAAGTTATTTTGACACTTTTGAGGGCTTAAATAGTTAGATTTTTGAGATTTTAGGTTCGGATCATAGCTTTTTAGGTGCTTTTTTAGCATAAGTTTGATTACATGTTGAGTAGTTAATTTAAGTTATTTTAGTTAAATTTTATGATATTTTGTTTTAAATTACTTTAACAGTAGTTTTTGCTAATTTCTCTTATTGCTTTGTAGGAAATTTGATGAAAAAGTCTCATTTGATGAAAA